ACTTACCTCAATTCTTCAGAACTAGAAAACTGTTAGTAACTGCTTTGAAATAATTTTAATCACATAGAAATATAACTGCATGAAGAACGCATTTTTTTTTTCAACAAAAATGGTCATTTTTCAGTAGGGTTTACAATTTTTCCCATGAAGAGGATGCTATGAGTATATTGATCAATAATCAACAGCAAAAATGGACGGTCGAATTTAACAACAGGAGGAACAGAATGAGGAACTAGTTCTGTGTAAGTGCCTCCTGCAGCTTCTGTGCCATTCTCGTGGATATTCAACAGGGCTTTGTGAGCAGCCTGCAATAAAATACAAGTATTATTGCATGTAAGGTAAGACTAGAGAGAGAAATTAAAATTAGCATTAAATTAGTTCAACTATCACTTTTCACAAAAGTTGCTGATTGCTAGGCTATTGATCATGAAGAAAGCCACTAGAGCCCATGTTGGGTTTGATAGCAATGTGATCTCTATAAGCAAGTCTTCTCCCATCCATTGCTCACTGTCAGTGTATCTAACAGAACCCACTGACTGCACATCTTGTGGCATTAATTGAAAATAGAACATTCAAGTAAAATCAAAAGAATGACAATTTCAGAGGGAAAGGAAGTTCGAATCCAGGACCATTCTGCATGCATCCCTAATAGCACATACATCACAAATTTAATCTCTATGCTATAATTTTAAAAATTATTGTAGATTATTTCTTCTTAATCATTTTATTTTACTGCCCCAAAATTGCTAAAACATGGTAAGTGCTACTTTCACAATAGCTGTAAGAATGTAAATGTTTATCTCAACATCATCTCCTATTTCCAGGAAATGATTCTTTCCCCAGTCTTGCCCATTTTACAAGTAAGTGTCTTTAACAAAAGCAGAATTTTTAAAATACTTTAGAATTATAGAATATGCATGATATAAAAACGATCACTTTCTCTACTAAATACCCTGATGTGAAGCATTCCCAGCACAGATATGGAAACTCTTGACATGGAGAAACTGGTCTATGTTTAGTTCCCAGGACAAATGATATTCCCCTACCAACCTGTGTCACATCTCAGCTGGGCAGAAAGAAGATAGTAGTAAAAATACTTTTACATTTCATCTTAGCCCTAGATTTTGGACAGATCAGAGAATTTGAGGCTACTGCTTTATTAGCTGAATGTTCTAGCTCAGTGAATAGGAAACAGCTCCAAAAAGCAGAAAAAATTCCAAGCAGAGGCTAGGAAAGGCAATTGGCACTGAGGAATCCACAGGTCATTATTTCTGTTGATAAGCTTACTTTTGAAACCTTTATATCTGGCTCTCCCGTGATTCCGGATAGATCAGCATGGTCGGAAAATACATCAGTTACACCCAGGTTCATGAACATCTTCTTTAAGTCATAGGTGCCATAAATAGATAGTTTTGGAATGTGTACTTCTATCCTCCTGTTAAATTCAGAAGAAAATGATGATAGGTATTGCAATCGATCTGAATCTTGGACTAAAATCTCCTAGCTGGCTGATTGTTATTCTGTCATTTCTCCCCATCACCCCAAAAAAACACCCCCAAAACATCTTCAATTCTGGAAGAGAGGGGAACAAACAGATGGAAGAGGGAAAAAGCTGAGTTTTGTTATACAATACTGCAACAGTCACTCTATTGGTCAGAAAGCAGATGTCATGCCATCGCCTTTGGGATACATTTGAGTTCACTTCCTAGCTCCAGATGGTTTTGTTTTGGATTTCACACTCTATTCCTGCTCAAGAATCTGGTTGCTGCATCACAGTATTACCACGTATGACACATTGTACCTGAGATAGGAAGCTAGAGACACTTAAGATCAATTATAAACTACATGGGAAAAGAAACTCAGTTTCTAAGCACACAGGTCTCCTCTCTCATCACAAGACAATATTGATTCCACTTCTTGCTGGAAGTAGATAGCATGAAATTACTTGGTTTATTCTTTCATACCCATTTCAGCACTTAAATCTCCAGTCAACAGCAAAAACAATAAGAAGAGCAAGACTTCAAAATATGGTCAT